GGGGGGAAGGTGTGTTTAGTCTGGAGAAGAGGGGGCTGAGGGGAGACCTCATGGCCCTCTACAGCTACATGAAAAGAGGGTGCAGAGAGGGGGGATGAGTCTCTTGAACCAAGGAACAAGCGCCAGGACAAGAGGGAATGGCCTCAAGCTGCCCAGGGCAGGGTCAGGCTGGCTCTGAGGAAGGATTTCTTTGCAGAAGGGGCTGTTGGGCGTTGGAATGGGCTGCCCAGGGCAGGGGGGGAGTCCCCATCCCTGGAGGGGTTGAAGAGTCGGGTTGACCCAGCGCTGAGGGATCTGGTGGAGATGGGAACGGTCAGGGTGAGGTTCATGGTTGGACTGGAGGATCTTCAAGGGCTTTTCCAACCTGGATGATTCTGGGATTCTTCATGCCCAGATGACTTGTCCTACAAAACTGTAACACCATTTGAAAAATGGTAACATCATTTTAGGAGGCAGCACAGGACCGTTGGATAAGTGCTGCTGCTAGCTGTTGGGGTTCTCCACATCCCAGAGGTGCAGTTCCTTCCTCTGGGCACTTGTTGAAACTGAGCTGCCTCCAGCACCCTTCTCCTCTCCCTGCCATGATGTTAAATGCCAATGAGTGCGAATCCAGACACGGAAAATCTTCTGCACCTTCACCCACCCGAACAGGGTAGAGAAAGCGGAGAGCAGCAGTGGGAGGCCACTCATTCCATCAGAGGAAGGCAATAATGCTCACGTTTACACAGGAATGGAAAGGGGAAAGGACGACAAGGTCTGCAGGCCTGGCTGAGTGTCTCAGGGCACTCTGAGTAGGAAGGACACAGGACACCAGCTCCTGGCTTTACACACAGTGTGGAGGAGGTCACGGTGATGTTTGTCACACTGTCACATCAAGCATCAATGCCTGGGTCTCAGGATTGCACACAAACAGGAAAATGGCGAAGGCCTGACCACCCCTGCATCAAGCCCAAATCCAGAGGAAGCCATGAGGGTTCAGAGGTTTGTTGCCCCACGCTGGGGAGAACCTCAGCACTGCACGCTCCAGACACAAGGTTCCCTGTGCCCAGCCTTTCTCCTACTCATCCTCATGCAAGTTTACCTTTACTGTAAGAGACACCCCAGGTCCCAGAGCCACCACTGCCATGAGGTCTAATCCTGTTCTCTGCTCTGGCTGTACCTCTTTCATTTCCCAAAGGCATTTGATGTTTTGCTTTTTCCCTCCACTGTCATCCCCAAGAGATGATGGAAGAGATCTTCATGTTAATATCCACAGCTAAATGCAGGAGGAGAAAAATTATTTTAGTGAAGCCAGAATGACCCAACTTCCCAACCTGAAGAGTCTGGGAGCTGCTGCAGGGCAGGCACATGCTGTGCCCCAAACCAGGTATCTCTCATTTGTGCTTGCCTCTTCTGTGACATGAAGCTGCACATGGGTTGGGGCCAGGGGAACCCAGCCACAGGCTCCCTCCTCCTTCTACAAAGGACAAGAGAAAAGGGCCTGCAGGAGCTGAATCTACCTGTTGATAAGAAAAGGCAGCCTTTTTCAAACCAAATCACAGCTAAAAGCAGAGGGGAATTACCTGAACAGCAGCAGCAAGTTCAGTCCCCAGTGTTGCTACAAATCATGCCTGCCAGTGCCTGCCTTTCTGTCCAAAGGCCCAGGCCCTGGTGCAGCCAAGACCTGCCCAGAGATCCAGAAGCCTCCAGAGAAGAGAAACATTCACTCTACACCACTTAAGGGCCCACTGGTAATGGCAGTTTCTGAAAGGTTCCCACCACAGTTCTGTTTCCACCTGCTGATAGGAAAAGCAGGAGACTGCTCAGCCCTGCAAAGAAAAAGGAGGATGATCCTCGAATTAACCAGCCTTTGGGACTGCCAGCATATCCCATGCAATGCTTCAAATCAGTAAACTGAACCAGACCACAACTGAGCAGGGAGAAACCTCAGCCTTCCTCAGCAAGAGCCACACGGGCCTGCCTTATCGCAACAAATAACCGTGATAAAACTATTTGCTACCAGAACACTGTCACTTAGTTCCCTGGTGAAGTCAGGGAGCAGTAAGCTACAGGAGGGGCAGGCTGATGAAGAAAAGGCATTAAAACCCCAGTCCCTCAGGGCACACAGTGGGAGGAGAAGCACAGAGAACAGTGCCAGCCAAACTTGATTTTTCTCTTGGCTACTGAGCACACACTCCCCAACCACCCCAACCCTAGCACTGCAATCAGACCTTTGAAGAGGTTAATAGCAAATGTTTATTTTCCTTTATTAAAGAGCAGGTCGCAACCATCCCGCTGTTAACAGAGTGACTTCATATTCATTCACAAATTGTTCTCTGCTTTGTTTTAAATGTAAGATAACCTTATACAATGCATTTCTCTAATTCCTTTCATCTCAAAGTGCTTTACAAAGTGACACCGGGGGAAAAAAAATCCCACAAACCAAAATATCTCCTACATAGAGAGATCATCTCATTCCCAGTGCTGCGATGCAGCCACGTCTGTTGTGCAATGTAGCAGCTAATGGCACAGGATGACATGTAGAGATCAAAAGGTCAGGGAGAACAGATACAAGGAGAAACTGTCAGGGATAGAATTTACCTGAGCTGAAATCTGCATCTGGGGAAAGACATTTCTATTTTCTCCTCTGGAAGTTGATGTCAAATTGCCACAAGTCTGCAGACACCAAATAGATGCAGGTTGATCACTAGCTCAAGAGCCAACCACTCTTACCCAAAGACGTATTTTGCAGGCTTTTACTCCATATTTGAAACATATTCCTTTCATGCAGAGCAGCAGATGTACACACTTGTCTCGCTAGGGGAAGCGAAAGCAGAACTGGAGTGTTACAACTCAAAACTTGCAGGTCAGCCCTTTCTGAGCTGAAGGCGGATTCAAGGCTGATATGTATTGTCAGGAACGTGTTCTTCCAGCTCTGGGAATGACAATTCATGCCTCACATAGCTACTAACCCTTAGTAAACAATACTATATGCCACTATAGCTATAAGGAAAAGAGTCCCCCAAGGAGCAGCTCAGAAGTGTACTCTTAAGTGTGCTTAGTGATGGGAAAGCTCATGGGGGGTCTTCCACAGAAGGTTCTCAGATCTGCCGTGAAGCTGTCCTTGTATTATGTTCTAAACCAAAAACTTCTGTCTCCCCCATCTATTCTTCCCTCCCTTGGACAAAAATCCAGCAGCTCAGTTAATTTTCCTTCACTGAAGATTTGTGATTTGAAGAGTTGCTACTATAGCCTCTCCCAGGAGAGGGTGAAACTTAATGGAGCTGAGGAGGGTGATTTGGTTCTGGGCACCAACTTGCTAAGATGGGAGTTACAGTGATAGGTGACAAACGTCAAAAGTGAAGAAATGCCACATGAGATGAAACCTCCAGGGTGGGTGGTGGCCAAGCTCATTCCACAGTCACTGAAAAAAAAGGCTAAATCGGCTACAAAACACTGTCATGGCTTTAACACAGTTCTGTACAAACAAGCCTGGGCCCAAGTTCAAGCTACAGCAGACCTCTGCTTTCCAACAGCTTTAGGGACATCCTTCCCAGCACATCTCAAGGCATACAGAAACCTCAGCCACATTATCTCTCATGTCTCAAAATTTCCTCATTGGGGATGGCAGCCCAGAAGAAGGTGGGTTTCCCAGCAGATGCACATCTCCAGGTCGGACGTAAGGCTGGGGAGGAAATCTTGGGGCCTCAAGATACTGCCCAGCCTGGGCATGCTCCTTCTGGAGACAAAGAACCCAGCCTGGGACCATGGTTTCTATCTGAAGAGTGGGAACAGTACTGCCCAAAGCTCCCTCAGAACAGGAGCAGCTCAAAGGCATGTTTGCGGGTGAGGTTTGTATCTAAGAGCACCATGGGGCACTTCTGCACTGAGGACTGTCACAGGGCACCACCCACCAAGGTCCGCATCTGCCTGTAACAACTGCAGCAGATTCTCCAGGCCAGGAGAAAACATCCTGCACCAACAGCAGCCAAGCTGGGGCCAGCTGTGAGTTACGCAGCTTCCCTGCTCACTTTCTTCTGCTGAAGGCCCCAGGCACAGAGCTCCGGCCTCTGCTTCGGCTGTTCCCCTGGCCTGGATTACCCAGTGCCAAATCGCAAGCTAAAAACAGAAACAAATCCCTCTTTGTGACTCAAGTTGGCAGAAAGCTTCTCTTGCAGGCTCCTTTAAAAGGAGCAAGGAAGTACTTGGAAACAGGCTGTTCATGGCTCTCCATAAGATTATTTGTGTGCTGCTGGCATTTACAGGGCTGTTAGAGGAGTAAGGGGTCAGCAGGACCTATGTGTACGGCTGGGCACAGCACCCTCTACCCCAAAGAACGAGGGGAACAGATGGACAGACAGCCAGCATCTGTCCTGAAGGAGTTGCTTACAAAGAGAAGGTCCAGGACTCCTGCCTTGCACAGGGACAGCCTCAGACTATGCCAAAGCAGACTGCATATAAAAACAAAAGTTTAAAAAACGAAAAATGGATATACACTGCATATAGGAGACTCCACAGAGGACAGTCTATAAATGGCCACCCCAAAGCAGCCAGGGCCAGCCCAGCTCTGGTGGGGGGTAGCTTGGCAGCTGCATTCCAGTCACAGTTGGAGAAATGGGACAGCTGAAGGTGGAACTTGTGCTTCTTGCTCCTTGATCAGCTTTAGGCAGAGGGAGGGTGGGGAGGGAGTAAGGCCCACTGCAGGAGAGGCACAGCCTTCATCTGTTTGTCAGACTATGTTTGACAAGCCGTTCATACAGGAGCAGTTTCCTTCCATGCTCAGGCCTCTGCTTACATCTCACTGGGATAAAACCCAAGTTTGGCCAGAGACATCTCCCTCCGGAGCCGCATGACCTCCCAGTACATCAGCTCCACTGCAAAGCAAAATGGGTGTGGGGGAGAGAAGGAAAAAAACCACCAAATATCAGTAAGCAAGGCACAGCTGGACACCACCTCATGCTATGCTGTTCTCTCAGTGCAACCCAGCCAGGCTTAGCCCCAAAGAGAGGGGAGCAAACATGCTGGAGGGTCCAGCAAGAGAGCCCCATCAGGTCACCCCTTACCAGCTCCACCCAGGGCAAAGCTCCCAACGAGCTGATGAGCAAGGAATAGGTACATCTCTTCCTCCCAGCTCATGCATTTTTGTCATTTAAGAGTTTCTCAAAGACACAGGGTTCCCCCAAGCTGGCCCCATTTCTCTCACACTGAGTAGGATTTCTTCATTCCTCCCAGCGACCCCCAGAAGGCATCCCCACCATCCCCTCTTACCATCCTGCCTCACCAAGCCCTGCTGGATATAGCGAATGTATGTGAAAAAGTTGCACACCGCTGTGATCTGAAGGAGAGAAGAAAAAAAAAAAAAAAAAAAAAAGTCAGCTACAGAACTGCTTTGCCTGTCACAACATCAAGAGGTTGGCACAGCACCCAGCAGGAGAACTCTTGGTGTCCAGCACCTGAGAAATGGTACCATACACTACCAGACAGAAAGACATAGGAAGAAAGCTGGTTAAAAAAAATAAATAAAAATAATCAAAATTCTGGGTGTCTGCAATCCTGTCCCAAGATATCACACAATCCGTAAGACATACTATGGAAGAAATCCAAACTACTGTAGATTTCAGACATAAGTAAACACTACTTAATGTGGCAGTCCATGACCCTCCTTCAAAGAGCACTGTTCTCCAGTTGAAGGAAAATCTTTGCAGTTAAAGGTTTGTGCAGAAAGCGTGCTTGCAGAAACGTAAAGGTGTTCACAATGCATTATGTGCAAGTGGCAAAAATTAGTCAACTTAAATCCATGCACAAAACCAACTTTTTGTTTCAGAAATAGTCCCATGTTGCAGGATCAGCTCTTCTAACATGTAACTTGGGAAAGAATAAACTTCTACAATTGAATCAGAGCCCCAACAGCAACATTAACAAATCATTCACCTTCTCCCTTCCCTCCGAAGAAAGGACAGCTTGTTCTCACAACCATTTGAGTCACTGATCTGTACTGGAACAGTAACAGGAGCCAGCATTTAAAGAGCAGAAAATTACTGTGTTTTACAAAGGAGAATTAAAAAATAATAATAAAGCAAAACAATCAAAACCTTGTACTAAATCAAACCGTGGAAAGCAAACACACTGAAGACAGGTTATCTGAAGGAACGTAAGGCAGAGCACCAGAGCATTAGGCAGGGCTGGAGACCTGCACTCTAGAGCCAAGACCAAGAGCCACCTTGACTTCAGGAACAAACTCAAGCCCACCAGGTCTCTGACTGGGCTGAGCCAAGAGCTCCTCAATCTCAGGGCTTGGAACAATTCTGGAGGGTCAAGGCACCCTGGGAAGGTGGAAGACTCACCCTGGCCCTGCAGGATGGTGAAATGTAGTAGTAATTCCCAGAATCCCCCAGCATGATTCGGTGCTTGCAGGTCCTGGGGAGACCACTCAGAGCACATTTCCTGCAGACAAAGAAAAAGCACTTCAGCCTTCACCAATCTAGTGGCACAGCGAGCACAGCAATTCAACAACCTCCAGACTATCCCCAAGAGATGCAAGTGGGAGCTTGGAAGCCAGACCTGTGTCAGTCAGCATGAAGAATAAAAAAAAAAAAAGACATGGCTGGTAAGAGCCTTTTGCTCCTAGAAAGATTCCATAAATGGCAAGTTTAGGAGACCTTAGGCTAAATATTAGGAACGATGAATTATTTCATGCCCAAGCAAACCAAGGCTGTACCCGTTTCCCTGGCAGACAGCCCAAGACAAAACCACAGAAAATATTAAAGAGGTGAGGCTGGAGCAGAGTATAACCAGATGACATCTCCCCCATGTTCCAGGCAAGGCTTTTGTTGAAGGAGTTCCGCTCAGGTGTATCAGCCTTCCTGACGGGATGCAAACATACATGCTGGCTGGGGACCAAACCCGGTCTCAAAACAGGTAAATCCAGCACCTGAGAACTTGCTCACACTGAGAACTCAAAACAAGTCACACTGCAGCCTTTATACTAGGCTCCTATTAATTAATTTGGGCCTGATTCAAAATTACTCTAGTTGAAGCCACATGGAGTGACTTTGTACTGACTTCAGGGGGCTTTGGATAAGGCCTGAAGTTCCTAAGAACAAGCCAATCCCTTCTTGGGCAGGCAGAGAAGAAGCTTGACTTCACAACTGTAAGGAGATTTCAGACCAAGTGAAGAAAATCTTTTCAAGACAGCTCAGCTCCCAGGGAGACTACCAAAAGACAATCAGCAAGGGTGCAGCATGCCTTTATTATTTTCTTGACATTTCCTTCTGGTATTTGCAAGATGAATGGTTCCCTGAACTAGCCAGTTGCCCTTCCTTCATCACTACTTAAAGCAGTAAAGCAGAATTTTCTGCTGCATAGAGTCACCACATTCTCCAGAGACTTTGTGCCTGCGTGATGGGAAAAGGGACATCACTCCCCAGATGCCAAAATTTGCTCTGTGGGCCATGGAAGCTGACAGCACACAGGAGTAGATGTTTCAGAGAGCTTCTGAGCATGTCTCTGTGCTTGCTCTCCACTGCTATCAAGACAAGTATTAGCTAAGAGGGGAAGCATGGGCTGTTAAGTGCAGATGCAATGAGAAGTAATCATTGCCCAAATATTAACACAAGTCAAGGAGATTAAATCCTCAGACAGAAGGCACAGGATGACTGATACCTTTGTAAACAAGATATCTTTAAGAGACCCCAAAATTTGAGCATTGCAGTGTACTGGAAAACAGAGAATCCTGCTGGCTGCTCTTGCTTTGGGTGGTACCATGTGGTGTAATCTCAGCTATCACAAACCGTAGCTAGAAGTAACAAACCACAGCATTTGGACACCTGCTCTTCAGCACTCTGCAGACACCAGGGCATTTTGCTGGGTATGCAATCATGAAAGCCAGTTGTCCTTAGCATCTCTGGGCCAACATTTTGCTCTGATGCTGTACAGGCAACATCACACAGTGGCCAGCACAGTCCCAGCCTGTCTAGGCTCCTCAAACTGTTACAGCTCTGCCGTTTGCACAGTGGGGTACAGACAAATAGGTCTGGTAGATCCCAGCTTGGGCAGGGACCCCTTTTTTTTTTTTCCTTTCTGGTCCATAGCACATCCAAAGTTGCCATAAAAATCTGTTTTGCATCCAGAGAACAAACTTGGTTTGGGTTCTTTGTTGCCAATAGCAAGACACCTTACCATCCTGTCTGTGTGGAAAATGAACAGGTTTAAAAAGTTAGCTTAGTTCAGCTCTAGCCTCAAAGCTGCTAAATTGCACTAAGTTAGTAACTTGTTAATGGATTAGAGGTCTTTGATCACTGACTAAACAATAAATACTTCACTTACGTTACAATTTGTGACCGGAACCCACTGTAAAGACACACACACACAAAATAAAAATCAAAAGGAAACTGGTAAGGATAAACACAGGATGGGTTGTAACAGGCCTGATACATACGCACACAACAATTTACCTAGAGATGACAGAAAATACAGAAGAGAGTGGTAGGAAATCTGCATGTGAGAAAGCATTTACTGTTACAGGAACACCTTTGCTAGAAGGTGTTCTGCTTGAAGGTAAAGGCAGGGAAAAACAAAGAGAGCGAGCTCTGACTGAACTTAAATTCAATAGTTGAATAAAATCCCCTATCTTCATCTTGAATATTATGTCGTTCCTGCTAGTGCTCCTCTTCAAGGCAATCTCAAGTTGTCTGTCACATCAGATAGAGTCACACAAGCTCTGAAGCAGCCACAGCCCCAATTCTGCTTGAAAGGTGACAGCATCAGGTGGGGCAGATGACATGCAGCAAGAAGAGATCTCTTCTGACCTAGGCTCAAACCCACGTGGTGCACCAGCAAGGTCAGGAGTGTAAGGTGAAATCAAACCTCACAAGATACAAGAACACGAGATATGCAGCTCTGACTTAACCCATTCACCCTAGGTTATGCACAAACACACCTTCAGAGAACATTAAACAAGTTGCTACCTTAAAGGGAAAAAACCCCACAAACCTCTCCCAGGCCAGGAGCACTAACACATCACCAGGTTATTCCCCAAAACAGTCAAATACAGTACGTCAGCTGAGCTAATTCCTCTTCTCATGTAGAGCTGAGCTGAACTACCACTGGTCATGGGCTCAGAAAACACCCAGCTGAGCCCTCTGAGCTGTTCAACTCAACTGACTATGCAAGGCCTGGCCAAATTCCATTAGATGGTAAAAAAAGATTAGTAGGGAGGAGAGGACAGGACAAGTTAAGAACACTTCCTTACTTTGGCCCACCACACTCTTCTGCTGACACCTTCACCACAGGCAGTGTCTGGGAAGCAACCGGCTCAATGGTGAGTGTGTTCTCCTCCACAGCCACTCTCACCAGCTCTGACAGCTGCAGCAAAAAGGAATGGGCATGGATGTGAATGTCCAGAGGTCACCTCCACCAAAGTGAAACTCTGGTGCTCCCAGATTTTTCAGTTTTTGTCCTTTTCCAGCACTCACCTCCTGCTTAGTGAAGTCCAGACAAGGTCCTACATCTTCTCGATAAATTCTGTCCAGGAAGGAGCAGGATTTATCTAAAGTTGGAGATTCCTTCCAGGCCTGGAACTCAGCAAATAAAATGGAGTCGACCTGCAGCAAGTGTCCAAGAGGAGCAGGAAGAGGGAGAGCAGATGGAGAGAGAGACACCATATCAGAAGGTATCTGTTACTACACAGGTAACCTGACTACAAAACATCTGCTTTGGCATCTAGAAAGGCTCAGACAACACAGAAGTATCTGACAGAAGCCAGCTTGCTCCAAGGATCTCCCACCCATCAGCAGCTGTGTGCCAGAGTGATACAGCCATACTGAGCTTGTTCTGACAGAAACCTGCAGGCACATCTCTCCCCCCGCTTCCTCCAGGCCAGGGCAGCACCACTGCTTTCAGGAAAACCACTACACAACCACCAAACAGACCAAGTGCCCACTCAGCCCATGGCAGGAATGATCAGAGCAGCTGAATAGCACAGCACAGGGGCAATGGCACCCAAGACACAGAGCCATTCTGTAAGGAAAGGATTGCTACGAAAAAGGATGAATTGGAAAGAGTGGTGACACTGGCACAGGTTGCCCCAAGAAGCTGTGGCTGCCCCCTCCCTGGAAGGGTTCAAGGCCAGGTTGGATGGGGCTGGGAGTTGGAACTAGATGATCTTTAAAGTCCCTTCCAACTCAAACCATTCTATGATCTGTAATTAATGAAGAGCCATGAGTTCACAGGGTATGTCATCCTTTAAAAACCACTCCAAGCCCAGAACTCTGGTGTCTGGGGAGTCGCAGCAGCAACAGGAACACTGGGCAGCCACACAGGCTTGCAGAGGCAAGCTGAGTATAGGAAAGGAGGTCCCTCAAAGAGTAGGAAGAGCTTTCTCCATTTTAATGTCTGCTCATTGTCTTTTACAGGTGGGTCCACAAGCACTGTGACTGCTCAGCAGGAAGGGACCCAGAACGGAGCTTGCTCCTACCCCCTGTGCTAGCAGGAAGGTTGCTCCCTCCATCCCTGTTTGGCTTGAAAATACTTCAGTCCTGGAGACTCATTGGGACCTGATGTTTAAAACCCAGATGGATCACTAGTGGAACCACCAACCTGACTGACAGGACATCTCCTGAAAAGGTCAGCAAATCCCGTTAAAGCTGCCAAAAGGAAAAACAAAACTAAAGAAACCCTGCTGAGCAACCCAAAGAACACAGGTGAACAAAGCTGAAAAAAGTGTGGGTTCTAGCACACTCGCTCTACACTATGCAGACTGCTCACCTGGTACCAGGAGACAGCTTCAGAGCCACAAGATGGAAAAACAAATTGAGAAAAACACAAGAACAAAAGAAAACAAAACAAAAAAAGGAGGTTAGCATAAAAGGAAGCTATAACTGAAAGGCTGAAGTGCAAAAGGCAGATGGGTCCCACCCCTCCCCAACACTGTCCGGAAAGGTTACCTGCCGCAAGGATGAGGAAGCATCTGCCCCCAAGGCCTGCCAGCCTGGTTCATAGGTGATGTGGATAGCCTTCCCGGGGATGAGACAAAGGAGCAGGGAGAGGAGAGCGGGTAACCCAGACTTTGAGGGCAGAGGAAGAGACAGACAATGAAGGAAAAGGTTTAGAGAGACAAGCAAGAAAGGGAGGTAAAAAAACATGAGACAAAACAGAAAATCCAAAGAAAGGCTCAAGTCCTCCCCTCCAGGGAATTAAGTGTGCTGCTCAAGACATTACAGGGCCACAAGCCACACTTTTTGACTTCAGCTTGAGGTGCAAAAAGGGAACAGAAATTGTCATTTTTAGGCTCCGTTTAAGACTGTGCACATTTTTTCCACAGAGCACCAAGCACCAACTCTCTGAATGCCAGGTTCTTTTCTATCACCTCTCACATAGGCCACTAAGGAATTTGAGAAACAGAAATGAACAAGTTAATAATTTTATATATTGAGGGAGGCGTGGTTTTTTGTTAAGTCAACCTAGGAAGCTGCAGCCCTGGGATTTTAAGCCACGTGGAAGTTACCTACACAAAAAATGACAGGTCTAGATCTTTAACAAGCAAGTCACAAGAGCTAGCATTTCTCTAAAGATTGTCAAAACGGGATTCACTGAGATTGAGCCAAGAACAGCAAAACGAACTACCCAGTAGGCAAAATTTATCTCTGCTTACTGTAGGAAGGTAAGTCAGTGGTTCACCAAACTGGGCTCTCTGTTTGGAGCTCCTCTGTTCTGACTGGAGGAATGGTTAGCCTTGGGAGAGGTCACAGGACCTTAGATTAAAACCTTCTCTCTTAAAACCTTCCTGGCCTTCAAAGTAGCTTCTAGCTGGCTGCATCTGACGCCAGCTTCCAGCATATCTGGACTGTTCCCTGCTTGACCAAGAGAAAACAGTGCATCAGGCCTTCAGCTACTGAGCTGATTTTTTCCCCTGGCTTTCTTTGTCATAGCCTTTGTTCCCCTCTGCCTGTGAACCGAGTTAAAGATCTTCATCTCTTGTTGCTATTGCTGTCTCAGGACAATGGCTATAGCCAATGTTGCCTGAAGCATTTCATCCAAACCTCTAGCAACAAGAGCACCGTGCAGAAGCTGACAAGGCATATTCATTGAATCCGCTGCCAAAAGCAGACATTGCCAGTGTTGCCAGCACAGTCCTGCTTGGCAAGAGTATTAATTTCACAAGCAGCCCTTCTACGTATGTTCTCACGCAAGCCAAGTGACCAGGTGCCTCAGTCTTCCCTCAACAATTCTTCACAACTGAGGCCAAAGCTCCCAAAAAAAACACTAGGGAGACATATTCCCCCACCACATTCTCATTCATTTTCATTCTTCCTGACTAAGTGCCATAAGCTGCCTCCTTTCTGCTCCTCAGGACAGCTGTGCAAACATCTGGCTAGTGGAAAGTTCCCAGACTGAAAAATCCTGCTAGCAGGAAGAAGTGTTACACCCATGGTCACAGCAGGTAGGTGACTTATCAAAGGATCACAGAAGCAAATTAAACAGGGTTTGAAAGATATCCACAAATACCGTGTAAGCTTCTCTACCCAGTTCCTTCCAGTGAGGAAGGAATTAAGTATAATTAATTAAATATATGCTCTGCAAAGAAGAGGAAGAACAGTGCAGTGCCCAAGAACACAGAACAAGTGACAGTCTACAAGGTGATGGAGGTGTCCTGGTGTCCAAGCTAAACTAGGTAGAGAGAAGAAACAACCACAAATCACCCCAGAGCAGGCAGTGGACTCAAATGCCACAATGCAGGAGAACAACTGGCTCCTGCTCAGCAACTCCTGACATACCCACTCTCAGCACTAGTAACTCCTGGATCTGTCCACACCCTCCAGGGATCCCTCAGCTGCCTCCTCTAGCAGTTGTCCTGACACAGCCTTGAACACTCTTCCCAGAAGAGGAAATCTCCACAAACGGAAACCCTCCGGAGCTTGCCTCAGCACAAATTTAGGGAACAAGCCGCTCTAATGCACAAACAGTTTCTCCCAACACTGAAACCACATTGCTCTCCAGGAAGCCCCATTCCGAAGCCGCACAGCTCCACGCACACGGCGACGGCTCCAAGGCCAGTGCAGTGCACAGCCCTCACCCACCTCCTTGCACTCATGACTGACTGGTTCTGGAGTCACATTCTGGTTGGCAGCTGAGACCATTGCGCTGCTGGTGCTCTTGTTTCGCCCATGGCCCTTCCTGAAGCCAGCTTTAGAAGGGCTCTGGAGCTGAGGGTGCAGCTCCCGGTTTGGAGAGGAAGGCGTGGATGTGATCACCAGTGTCTTCAGAGCCGTTACCTCTGCCTGCAGCATGTCGATCTGAGGAGACAAGGCAAGAATCAACAGCACCTTCAGCACATGCTCAGGTCGAGCTTGCTGCACTCCACCAAACACTAAAGTCACAGGAAACAGCTACAAGCCCAGTCACAAAGAAGCCTCCTCCCCATGCTCCCAGATGCCCACCGTCACCCAGAATTTTAAACAGGGCTAAACAGCAGCTACTCGGGAACCCAACCCTCTGCTCCTCAGTCTGAGCACATTTTGCTCCAGGCTCTTTTTAACCAAATAACCCAGAAGAAATTTCCCTGTCCTCAGGAAGGAACCAGTTGAGCAGCCCTGTGATGCAGCCTTGTCAGGAAATTCCAACTCCCCAGCTCCCTGCTCTAACCATCCCCACAGCCGTGGCAATTAAGCAGCATCTAAGCAGCATGGTTTCCTGGCTGTTCCCCTGGCATCCTTTTCTCAAAGGGCAGCTGGATCAGCAGCAGACTTCAAGGATGCCTCTTTCCCCTCCCTCAGGAGAGGGAACAGAGCAAATGCAGCATCTCAGAGAGAGCAAGCTGCAGGCACTGTACTCTCCTCCAGCCACCAAACAGCACCATGGCCAGGCCGGGCAGGGATGGCACCGACCTAGCACAGAGATCAAGTCGCAGAGTTGCAGTTCTCACCTTCCCCCGTGCCTCCCGCAGCTGCTTCTCTGACGCCGCCTGTTTAGTGTTTGCTTCTCTCACCATCTTGTGCGCTTCCTGGACCAGAGAGAATTTTAGTCTGCCTCTTGCAGCTCCAACTCAAAGCCACCAGGGCAGGCCAAAGTTCTTGCTGTATCACATGCCCTAGGCAAGCAAGCAGGGGACAGACACCACTGCCACATCCAAGGGTTTTACTGTCAGGTGTGAAGAGCCTTCCCCCAGAATTTCCCAGAGAAGGCTCTCAGTGCCAGGGCCTGGAGTCCATCCCCCTTCCAGAAGCATAGCTGGCTAAATGAAAGGGTTTAGCTGGCTGAGTCCAAGGTCACCTCTTCCACTGATACGGGCTGCTGTGAAGAAAGCTAGAAGCAAGGGCCTGACCCTCCTTGTCCTTGGGAATTGCTTTAAAGCTGAGGCTTTAATATTAGCACCCATTTGTGCTACATCACAGCTGTGTCTGTGTCCAGACCAATATCCCTGTGACTCTGACCTTGACTCAGACCCACTGGCTTGGTTTCCTGGCTTGACCCCATTGTCACTACAGACTTTCTGACTGATCACTGGACTGTTCTGCGATTCGTCTGTGGCACAGATCCTGATCCAGAATGCTGCTCCACGTCTTGGCTCCTCACTGATGAGGTCACTGCTCTTGCCTGACTTATTACTGCACTTTGCTCCCAGTTCCCTTGCAGAGCAGCCAACCCTCACTGCTCTGGGCATGGCTGCAGCACAGCAGGAGCTACAGCTCAGGTGGGCTCCAAATGTAGAAGTCAGCTTAAAAGCATCTCATGCAGGAAGAGGGGAGCAGCGTGAGGCCCAGCGGGGGCCTCCCCGCAGCGCTGTCTGGAAGCAATCTGTCTAGGGCCACTAAAGGAAAGGGCAGCCCTCAGCTACAGTATCTCCAAGTTCACTCTGAACCTGGGCAGCCAAATCTCCAGAAGGGGGATGTTCTCTTGGCCCTCACACTCAGCACCAGCCTGTGTTTCAAAGGTACAGATGAGCTCTGGCTTTCCTCACTGCCCACTCAGATCCAGACATTAGATCTGCCAGTAAATGGGGTTTTACCAGGATAGAGCTTGGCAAGAATCACACTACCGAAAAAACACAAACAAACAAAAGGCCTTCTGAGCACTCATTGGAACAGAATATATGACAACATCCAGCCTGTTCCCCCCTCAAGCAATGGCTGACATGAGCCAGGGAATCATCTCTATTACACAGCAGCTACTGTCCAGACTACAGAGAACACAGGAGAGGGACAGGGAGCTAAGCTTAACCCAAGCTACAGGCATCCCCACATTGGTGTTTTCCTACCAGACGTACAGATCATAACTACTGTTCTCCTTATGCCACCCTGCAGCTGCTGGAAGGAGAAAGAAACACAGGCAAGTGCTCCCCAGGAGCAGGTACAAGCCCCTGCTCTGAGGCTCTGCTTGCAGCACTGCCCAGCTCTGCTTCTGAAAGGGGGAAAGAACAACAGAGGAAAAGAGGAAACTGTGGGAGGAGAGAGCTGGAAGTTCAGAGAAAGCCTGTCTTAATGGAGTTGGATGTAAGCTTAGCTTAAGAAATTATGGGAAAAGGAAGAGGGTGTTACCTCAAATAGGCTAGCTGTTAACTCTTCTAGTTCCTGCTCCAGTTGTTCTCTGACTTTTGACAATCTCTCACATTCTTTGTCCTTCAGCTTTAGCTCCTGTGAGGAAATTGTGAGGGATGCATGAGCTCACAGCAGGCCCCAGTAGTGCTGATGTCAACCACAACCTTTCCTCCCCACCACAGCATGGAACCCTGGCCCAAAACTCCTGTCACTAAACTCTGCACCACGCTCCGTGCCACCAAAGGCATCCTTCCACAAGTCATAGCAGGCTTTTCTGGATGGATTTGCTCATTTGTCATTAGCAAGGAGACTCCATACTGAAGCTGCTTTCTGGAGCAGGTTCCCAAGACTAATTTGAATGTTGGCATGGAGGCTTTGGGTCAACCTAGCAACTGACATCCTGCTCCAAAGCACTTTATGGCCACCTAAGCTCAATTTCTCTCCTCTTCTGCCTGCTCCAGGCTGCGGCACAGCCACCTTCAGACCCTCCTCCTCTCAGCACCACTTCCAGGAAAACCCCCACTACTCAAATCTGTGCTGCCATCCTCAGGCAATCTTAGAAACTCAGGCCTGCCTTACCTTTTGTGCTTTGTGCAGCTCTTCCTTCAGGAATTCAGACCCCTTCTCACGGATCTCCACCGAAGAGCTGCGCAGACGTGACACATTGAGCTGCTCAGTGGACTGGGTCTCATCCACACCTCCAGCATCTTGGCATCCAGTCTCTGGCTCCTCCTTGCTGCCTTTGGATGGCATCAGTGGCTTCCAGTGTCCCACAGCTGGTTGCTTCTGGCTGTCTTCCTCAAAACCGGCCTGGCTGTGAGGTACCAGCACAGTGAAACTTTATATGGGGGCAATTCACAGCCTTCCTCTAATATTCACAACGTGTCCACCTCCAGCCTCTCCCAGGCACTGAGGTGAGGCAGGGAGGGTGTATGAAAAGGGCAGGACTGGCTTAGAGGATCTGCTTCATGCCCAGCAGCAGCACCAGCTCCTCTACCCTGCATGCAGGCCCTGACTCCCTGCTTAAGTGCTTCACTCTTTTGGCACAGATTGCTTCCAGACCAGCAACAGAGGAGATGATCTAAAATAAAGACTTTGCAGAAAATCTCCACTCTTATCCTGGGATCTTTAAGAATCACACCAAGTCTAGTTTGAGACGCCCAGACTGCCCTCCTTTTAAGAAGGGCTGGTCTCCCAACAGCAAGTACTCCCTCACAGATAATCCTAAATAGACAAAACTTAGTAGGCGAAGCAATGCTGTTAGTAAATCCTAAGTTTACCCTTCTCAACCAGCATGTCTCAAATACTATTCAGGATAAAGCAGGAGAACTACAGACAGCTGCTCCAGGAACCCCATTCTCACCTGCTTTCAGAGAGAAACAGACTGCAGCTGGCTTGTTTAGGCCTCAGGTATACACCCAGTAGACCTAAGTTCAGAGACACAGCTTCTGCAACTGGAGGAGAGCAGCAAGAAAAAGCGAGTACAGATCTCCCATTCCCTAGCAATACGCAGACCCTAATGCCCTTCACTGCAAACCCAGCCTTCCTCGACCCCTCAGCCCCTGGTTCAGAGGGGAAGGATCTCTTTTTAACCTACTGGTTTCCCACCAAAGTCCTCCACAGGGCTAAGACAGTTTATTTCCACTAGGCTGAGATATTTTTTAGTTTCAGTACATCTCAAGTAGAGATGTACTAGAAAGAAGAAACCAAAAGAGTCACCCAGGACACCATTCCCCAATGCACAGTAGAACTCTGTCAGACTAATACAGACCCTGGAAGAGGCTGATGAATTTAGCAGACTTCGCAGCTGCTGGAGTCTTACGAAAGGAAAATGCAGGCTTGAGTGCCTGCACAACAGAGCACTGCAATCAGTGTTGCCTAGTGCACATGCATCACCCCTTCTTCCTGCACTGAACCGTCCTCCTGTGGTCCCCTGCCATTTGAAGTCAGCGGGAGCATGATCAAGCCATGTACACATGGAGCCTTCTATCATGTCCAGCCACTCAGAAGGACACACACACTGCACTACAGATTAACCTGCTGCCAGTTATCTCTGGGTGACAAGCCTCAAGTTGAGCCATGTTGCTGTCCTCTTCCATGCACAGCACCCATCCCTCCTCCCACACACTGCTTTTGGCTACTGCTTCTTGCCTACTACCTTCTCCTGCAGAGAAGCTATCACCTTCTTTTGGCCAGGTTCACTTTCTCATCTCCCCTCTTCCTAATCTCTGTATTTCCCTCTCCCGAATTTGCCCTTCCTCCTGTATTCTAGCCAGGCCACACTCTGACTCCAGCTCCACACTGCATGACAGAGCAACAGACTGGGCTTATCTTCTCAGCCACATGCAGCTCAAAAGAACCTTGTTCTGCCTCAGCTCACCCAAACACAAAAGGCAGTCAAACCATGACGCCCAGCTACAGACAGCCCTTTTTCTCCTGGGCTATGCCACCTGGAAACAGCATGGTAATACCACCTTTTCTACTTAGACTGTTCCCTTTCTGCCTCCCCCCACCCCTCACCAAGCTGTCCACAAGCAACAGCTGCCCACAGTCATCTCTCAAAGAGGAAAAGAAGCAGCAGCTACCAGCTAATCCAGCTCAGATAGGACAGAAAAGCATGGGCGAAAAGTATGTGGAAAAGCACACGCAGAAAACTCTCTGAAAACCTGGAAGATGAAGGGCACATGCCTTGCCAACTGGATAGCATTTTGACTACAGAACTGGGAATGGGGGACATGCAGTCAGTATCACAGACTCTGCTGGCCTCTCTGTTGAGCAAGAACAAGTGAAAGCACCAGAAGGATGGTCACACAGCAGTGCTAAGGAGGTAGAAAAGGACAGGAATGAACTGGCATCCTGTTGACCTCACCTGGTTTTACTGAAGATCTAGAAGGGGAGGCTTATCCTGGTGATACTACTTAATTTGGAAGTGTGAAAAATAACATGAAAAGGTGTGTTGGCAAAAGGGCAAGAAAACAAAATTAGTTTTGGCCTGAGGAAGAAAGGACAGACAGTACCTCCAAGCAAAGATAATTCATCTTAAGCTACTCAGCATGCTGGGACTGCTTGATAAAAAGCAATATGCACAAACATGGAGGGATACGCCTAGCTGAGCAAGCCATGACCAACAGGAACTCCTGAACTAGACAGGCATCTACAGTTTGAGGTGTGAGAGAGCACGCAAGTGAACTACATAGCGTTCGGAGTGTGCAGTGCCCCCTCCATCCAGTTAGGCTGTTCTATTGGCACATTTGGTTAATTAGAGGAAAGGCAGAACCGCACAAAAGAAATAAAATGGTTAAGAAAGGTCAAGATCAGCCAACCACTTACCTAAACAGTGACATCGCTAACAGGGTGAGGAGGTCTCCAAAGGCTCCAAACACTAAGGAAGGGGAGGGATTAAGCAAGAGAATGACTCAAAGGAAGGAATAAAACCCATCACAGGAAGGTGGGGACTTAACAAAACCAATTCATCCCAGGAATGAGGGGAGGTTCTCTGCAATGGATTTGCCATGGGACACATGCCAAACAGAGAGGACTATTCAACAGTTAAACCATTTCTCAGGTGGCATAGTGGAAAACCTCTCTGCTCTGGACTTTGGAGATTTGACAGAGTAAACTGCAGAGAACACATCTCTCCAGGTATTCCTGCATTAGAGAGGAAACACACCAGAAGGGACCCAGACAGTCCAAGCACCTCCAGCTTCTGTGATCCGAAAGAAACAAAAATCAGAGCAGAGAAAAAGCCAGATTCAAAACCAAGCAGCTGGTAAAAAAAAAATAATTAAGAAACAGCAAGGAAATAGGACATTTCAACAGCCCACGAAACTACTAAGACAGCCAATCTAACCCATACATAACAGGAAGAAAAAAGCCAATGTTGTTTCTTTAAGACTCGCAAGCCCTCAGATGAAAGTTGTTTGTCTTGGGAGACAGGTATTCCAGTGTATTTCCACATGCTATGGAAGAAAACTGGAGGACACAGAGGAATGAAACAGTCCCATCCACACTCCTTAATGCCAAGGGACCTTAAAACCCATCCTGAAAATATCACCCCATTTTCTGTGACGGAATAGCACACTCTCCACGCGGTGCAAACAGAATCCTCATGAAAGCCCCAGTGATGCTGGCTTCTGCCCAATCAAGCCCCAATCTCCAGTGTCCAGCTGGGGCTTTGAAATACACCCCCCCCACACACACCCCCCTTAAGAGACCAAAGGACCACCACATACACTTGCACGCTCCTGCTGTCCCTGCTCTGACTGGTGTCTATCTTCCTCAGAAAAATGTGTCATATCCTCAAGGTCCCACCCTGACACAAGAAATGCAAACTTACACAAAAAAGAACCTAAACAACCCAACACCCCACCACCATCTAAAGCTGGTTTCTGTAGAAAAAGCAAAAAAATGTGCAGGATCCGCACTTTTTCCAGCGGGCCCCAGGAGTTTCCTGCAGTGCTGATCTGACAGGGTTATTTCCCGTCTGAACAGCCGCGTTGGTCTCTCCAGGTTAAACTCTTGCCCTCAGCCTTGCGCACGAGACCTGCCTGTGCCATCCCGATCAGGACAGGAGCCTGACCGCGTTCTGTATTTCTTACGTTTGCCTCAGCAGACAGCAACCACCCACCGTGTCCTGCCTGAGGGCTGCGGGCAGCCGCAGTATCACCTTACTCCGTCTCCTTACCTGACTTCCACACACCCGCACGCACAAACCTCCACCCGCAGAGCCTCAAGACCAGCTGAGCCGCGAGGTTTTGGGCTGCGAGGCCTCAAGGTGTTAACAACAAAGCGAGCAAACCCCACGGAAGCCCAAGGACAGACTCAGCCCGGTGAGACACCCCCGCCCCGCCACAGCGGGGACAGCCCGGCCCGGCCCCCGCGGAGCCGTCAGCTCGGGCCAGGGGGTGAGATCGGGGGGCAAATCCAGGCGCCAGATGCCTCAGGCCCGCAGAGCCCGCCC